TTATCACATGTTTTTACTAACTAACATCAAAAATACTAATTAATGGTGACTACCAAATTCTGATTAATGTTATACAGCCATCAATGGTAACATATGAACAAATATTGATTTTTTTGTTTTACATTCATTCATGGAAGAGATGCGGCTAGCGAGTACAAATCATATCTTTTTTCATTCCTATCGTCATCAATCAATTGCAGTAGCGTCTCAGAACGCATTACTTTTGTGTCTTCCTGCAACATTATCAATATTGTATGAATAAATATAAGTATCAATTAAATTAATTTAAATATACTTGCACGTAAAACTTATCAACATATTTACTTACATGTTCATATTTACGAAAAAAACATTCCCCATTCCACGTCTCCATAAACCTCATCACATAAAGCCCACATGATTCGTTGAAATGAAAATAAAAAAACAAGTCAAACCGATCAACTGTATTACAATTGGTTTATAACTAACCCGCTAAAACCGTATAACCTCACGTTTACATGAAACACACATTCAATTATACATACCTGTCAGGTTGCTGGGGTATTTTCTTTGGTATGTATGTACGATATTTTGTCATATCTTCACCAACCACAATCCTAGTAAACTCTTTCTGTTGATCAAAGCAAGTTTTTTTTAAATATATTGCCATTAAAAATTCTTTATATCAACTGAAACTGTATATACGTACCAACAAATTAACATATCATTTACATGTATGGGTTGTTCCCTTTGAACAAATGTAATCCACCATTCGCTTGCGACGATTTACCACAAACAATAACCAATGCCCATCTATGCATAACGGGAATAATAACTGCACCAAGATCAGTATAAAGTTAATCATACAAAAATCAAGGTTTAAAAATTTATATCCAATAAATAAAAGACATACTCACCAACTGCGCTTGCATGGGACGTGGAAGAAAAGTCATCTCAGAATCCTTAATGTATTTTGACCAGACTTGCTGTAGGACAGGCCAGCGTCTAGCTTTAGTCTTTATCTTCATCACATTGAAATCAATTATGAACTGTACTGCTCTACTACTAAAGCAGTACTTCTCCCCAGCAGGTCCTTCCTCCATGTTTAGTATATTCCCAAAGAAATTAATCACTTTTAAATAAGTATATTTAATTTAGAAAAATTCAATTTGTATACCATCTATGCAATAGTAATGTGCGAAATTCATTCAACTCACATCATCCGACAACCACCTATCAGGGAATACACTTTGAATCTGATGTCGACTTATAGTGAGACCAAACATGGAAACGATTATTTCACTGAAGAGACAATTCACAACAATACTTGTAAATTAATTATCATACTCACACGTTACATATAAAAAAATGCAATAATTATTTAAATGCAAACATATGTAAGTCCTTCATTCTCCATTAACTCACTGTCTCGACAACTGGCCGCAACAGTAGCATTCAACTCATTATTTTCCTCAGTACTTAGCAGAAGACTGTGAGTTGGAGTAGAACAGGTCTCATACTTTTCACCCTGCTCCTGCTCATCATCATCATTACACTCGTCCTCACTTCTTTGATCAGTTTCTTTATTTTTACTTCTTTCATTGCCATTGCCAGACTCTCCATCATTTTCTTCATCCTCACCTTCCTCATTTTCTTCATTGCCATCCGCAGAGTCTCCATCACTTTCTTTATCACCATCTTCCTCATCCTGACCATCAGTTTCTTCATCCTCAACTTCTTTATCCTCAACTTCTTCATCCTCACTTTCTTTATCCTCAAGTTCTTCATCCTGAACTTCTTCATCCCCACCCGATTCCTCAACACGGTCAACATCATCATCATTACCATCTACATCACTTCGTGCCCACCTAACCCATCATTCTTCTCTTTGTTCTCCCTTGACAGTCTTGCTTTTTTTCGCATGTCCCGCTTCTTGAAGGCAGATAACATTTTTGTTAGGCTTCTTTTGGATTTTAATACATTGAATTTAGCCATTTGTATGTCCATTCGCACTTTGGTTATGCAAGCCTGCGAAAATTAAAGACAATTAGTTCACATAACTTTTGCAAACATATCCTGTAAATAGAGATAATGTATTTTACAACACAATTACCTCCACATCCGAGTCAGAAAAATGATAATCATCAAAATCAATGTTTAAAGAAGGACTAAAACCATCTTCGGTTGGCACATCATTACCACTGCTGCTGCTGCTACATGTCTTCGGCTTCAAAGGGATCAACTATTCCATTCCATATTTAGATAACACTACTCTATCATCAAATTATAATATATATATAACTATTTTCAATAATACAAAATACTATTCGTAAATAAACCTGTCCATACATGACAAAAATAATTACCTGTCCATGTCCAAAACCTCCATTACCCATCTCCCATCTGATTCGTGATCGTACAACCTCTGATGTCCAAAAACCTAAGCTTTTAATATCTCCCTCAGGATAAGCTCGGTATTGCATATCACAACGCATCAGATAAAACAACTGATTTAAAAGACCAATAATTAAAGTAATTATTTCTTTTGTTTCATAAAATCAATATGTAATTCACACACATTTTAAAGGCAAATGTATAAAAATCATGACCAAGAATACCTGCAAAAAAAATCATACAACCACCGTATAACTTTTTCAGCTTCCCGTCTCCAGATGGTTCCAGGGTTTTCACCAAACAATCACGGACATATCCGCACCAGTTGTAACCGCTAATTGCATTCACATCATCCACAGTTTTCAACAAGCCCCAATGACAATTATTACGACCGGTGGGACTGAGTACAGTACTGCAAGCAAAGAGTACAAACGCTCGCTTGAATTCATCCATTCCCTTTACAGGTTAAAACATGCTCTAACAATACATCTTGGTGCATTCAACCAGCTTCCTTATAACCACCTTCATCTATCCACTTAGAATCAAGATACTGATTATTTTTCGGCACTTTTGGAACACCAAATGGTATGCCAAGGATCGAGTGGATATCGGCTGAATGGATGGGTATATAACCTATGTCTTCAACTTTTATACAACATTTTTCAGAGTCAATTTTTTTTATTAAATACATACATAACTCCCGGGAAAAAAAAAAGAACATTTAAGTTCCAGCAATTTTCTAAATCCAAGCTCCTCAATAGCCTTTATCTTTTCCTCATCAAGCTGTGACACTGCTTTACGGAACTTGGAAAGAGAGCATCTGTGCTAGGCACCTTGGGCTGATTGATCTTTTCCTTTTTCTTCTGCTTCAAAGGCATATGATTATAACACATCATGCATACATTCTGGGTTTTGTCATCAAATAAAATATTTACTCTAAAATTTAATCACCCTTTCTTTTTTTGGGGCCTTTCTTTCTTCAGGAAGCTTGTCGCACTCTTCCTTTCGTCTTGTACACTCCCTGATCCATGGCTCTTTATCAGCCGCAGACTTTGCATTCCATGTCTGTCTAGCAGATTTGTGCACCGCAAGCATCATTGCCTTCGGTAACCTGTCATGTTTTAAGTGCTCTTGTCGGTACTTCCTAATGCACTCGGCCCTTCATGTATGCATTGCATATTATCACAACTTATTTTTACATGTATCATCTATTAATTCCATACTGCATCAACATATGTTTCTAACACGTTAAAACAATTAACTACCCCAACTCAGTTTCACAATTCATAAATTAATAATAAGAACCACAAATACTTTCAACATATATGTACGAAGATTTGCATATTTCATCATCTACTATTTGTAATGCAATACAATACAAAAGTTGGACAGATCAATTTATTATGCTTACAACTTATCTAAACATGTATCATGTATGCATTTAACTTATTATTTTTATTGAATCAACATATTGACCTAACAACTTAAAAAAATTAACTTCCACAACTCAATCTCACAATTCCTAAATTAATAATCACAACCACAAACACTTTCACTATATGTAGGAAGATTTCATATTCGGAAACAACAAATTATTATTATCAGAACTTTTTAACACATGTATCATATATCAATTGCATATACCATCATAATATTTAGCTAACACGTTTAATAAATTAACTTCGAAAACTCATTTTCACCATTCCCAACCATAAAATCTGAAATAAATTTCTAAACCCTTAAACAAACAAACCGATACATAATCAATGTTTACCTATACATTAAGAACACTGTGGGAGGCCGGTTCACCAAATCCTGCTCGTCACTGGAAATACCAACACTGCTTCGTCCTTCACCTGAGGTTTGTCCTTCATGTGAGACGTTTTCTGTTCTAGTGTCATTAGTAGAAATTGACTTCTTCTTCTTAGATACCTGGAACGTACGTTTATTGGCTTTCTTCCTCGTTATAGATTTTAACCTAGCCATTAAATTTTGAAATTTCCAACTTGAGACGAAGACGAAGACGAAGAGGAGACTACAGGAGTTGGAACGAAGAAGAACAATGGAATTCGGCTTCACAGGACGCGAGGAAGACGACGAGCAGACGAGGGAGATTATGGTTCCGTAATTTTATCCCCAAAGATAAAGTTGAAGGTAATTTTTAACATAAAAAGATTAAATGTAATTGTAAATTATGTATTATGATTTTGTATAATGTATAAGTGTAAGGTGTATTAGTATAAGTGTATGGGGTATTTGTATATGTGGTAAATGAAAATATTATATCAGTAATTTTTTTAAATAAATGTTGACTGAGTGCTAACTGAATGGTGACTTGACAAATGAACTGAGGTGGTTTCACCTCAGCCATTAGATGTGCACTGGATCTGCTCCAGTTAACTAGAGCAGATCTTTGTCCATGCGCATACTTTATATATATTTTTCGTACTCGACACTTTTTTAAATAACGAGTTGAAAAATATATTAAATAATTCATTTAATGACTCATGTTGTTTTAAAGTTAGAACTTGTGTCAACCATGTTTGGTGGACTTGGGTTATCGGGTTGGATTTGAGTCGAAATTGGCAAAGTTTGATCCGCCAACTGTAATATCAGATTATCGTATTTCTCTTCTGTCACTAAAATCTTCCTAGTCGGCCGTGGTTCGTTCATTTGCTTTGAAGAATATAGGGTTTTGTTTGCTCAAATCCTTATCTGTTTGTTTCAAGCGACGAATTGCAAGAAAATGTCAGATTTCTTACCTCGTGATGTGTTGATTGACGTCTTCACTAGACTACCGGTCAAAACCCTCGTCCGGTGTGCTTGTGTCTGCAAATCGTGGCATTCTTTGGTCACAAACCCTAGTTTCATCACACACACCTCAATGCGAACAACAGCAACAACCTTCTACTATTTCGAAGGTGCTCCAGTGCTGGTGATGAAAAGGGGTATTATGAAGAAGAGCATTACTCACTACTACGCTGTGAACACAAAATGTTATGTGATTTTGCAGAGTTTGAGCTCCCACTGTATAGCTTTCCAAACGAGTATTTTAGGATAATCGGTAGCTGCAATGGGATCGTATGCCTTTCTGATGATTTGTCCTGTTACATGGACGGTCTTTACTTGTGGAATCCATCGATTCAGAAGACGATGGCCCTTCCGCCAGTACGTGTCACCTTTGAATCACACGGTCCTTTTATGCATAGCATCGGATTTGGCTTCGATTCCCAGACTGATGACTACAAGGTTGTCAGGATTGTGTTTCTGGATGACGGAGGCTTTGGTTTTCAAACTCCTCCGGAAGTTGACATTTTCAGTCTGAGCACAGGCACATGGCGGAACATCAGCCATTTGGGTCTTCAACATACCATCTGGGAGCGGGCTTCCCAGGCTTTTCTGAATGGGGCTACACATTGGTTTGCTTGCAATCTGACGAAGGGGAGCAAATCCGTCAACTTGATTGTGTCATTCCACATGGGTGATGAGGTCTTTAGCGAAATCAAGGCGCCTGGTAGCATTGTTCATAACAACTGGTTGCAACGATATCGTGTTGCAAAATTTCAAGAATCACTTTCTCTGATCGATATGGATACTGGTGCCAATAGGTGTTACGTATGGGTGATGAAGGAGTATGGGGTGTCGGAGTCTTGGACGAACCTATTCAATATTGATTTAAGTGGAGGATTAGGCAATCGTGTAGCTGGCTTTACAAGGAAAGGCGAAGTTCTATTTGCGAAAAAAACTGGGCATCTCGTAGCTTATGATCCGGAGACTGAACAAGTAATGCATGTTCATTTTCGAGGATCAACAGATTCATGGGATGGGGATTCATTTTATGCAGATGCTTATACTGAGAGCCTAGTTTTAGTCACTTGTAAGGAGTCACCTGTTTTGCTTGAAGAAATGAGAGAGAAAAAACAATACGTGGAGAAACAAGTAAGAGAAAAGAATGAAAAGATGAGCAAAATCAAACCAGAAAGGGAAAGAACAGGCAAGATGCATGATTTTACTTAGTTTTACCTCTTATATTTGCCATTGCTATTGCTAAGTTATTCTATTGCTTGCTACATGTCAATGTAAAAGCTCAACCTACAATTACTGATTGATATTAATATTTGAGTTAAAATTATTGTTGATGTTGATATCTTTTTGTACCTGATGTGCAAGGAATTCTTCAGGGCTGTGATGAGGGTGGAAAATCAAAATGAGGAAGCCAGACAGGGTGGAGAACTGCTGAAAGACTGGAAGTGGCATAGTGAACTCTTTCCTTGTTTTTTTGTTACTTTTACTTTGCCTGTGGTGCATAATGGTGGAGAACTGTTGAAAGAGTTGAAGTGGTATATTGATGTAGTTAGAAGGCAATATTTAACTTACCCTTGATGCTTTTGAACCCTCGTATCTTTTGGGCTTGATATGGCTTTAGATGTTCTGCTGAAAGTATTTGTTATCCATTATGCCATTGTATCTTCTAAATTTTGTTTTGGGGTATGAGCCACATTATATTATATGAATTAAGTTGTTAAGGAAAGCTTCTTTAGGTTGAGTTGCTGGATGTCGCCTAGCATTTAGAAGTCCCTGGTTGGTAATATTTTGTAGGAAATCATGGCTAGTTTTCCTTTAGGCTCAGATTATGCTAGCCAAGGTTAAGGTTGGCTTGTTTCGCTTGCTAGCCAATCTTGAGTTCAAACTGAGCTCAATAAATGAGCCATGTTCACTAGTCTTAACGATTGTGTTCATGATTGTCAGTTTATTAACATGTTTCTGAGTTGAATGAGTGAAGCAAGGTTTATTCAAGTCTGGCTTGCTTACTTAATGGGTCGATAATGTATGCTGGTGTACTGTGCTAACTAAAATGGATTAAACTCTTGCGTTGTTGAGCCTGAGCTGTACATGAACTGGTTAATTGTTTGACCCCTATTTATGGGCCATGTGCCACTGACTTAGCACCTCTGATTGGTGAAAAGGCTAACCTCTATATTCCAAGAGCACTGCTGTTCACCCTTCATTGTTCTGCTCTTCCTTTGATTTAATGTGATGTGACTGCAACACAATATATGGCCTTCATTACCAACAGGCCAGTGGCCTAGCGGTACCAGGCCCCTACTTCTCAAAGAGAGGTCAGGGGTTCGAGCTTCAGTTGAGGCATGTGTGTGTGAGTACCAACTAAGAAAATATATGACCTTCATTCCACTTATTACCATGTTTAAGTTTCAAGCATTTCTTTTTGCCTTACCTAACAGCTTTAGTTTTTACATTACTCTTATACCCTATTGGAAGGCAAAACTTTGGAGGAGATATAGCTCATATAAGAAATGCAAAACAAATCTTAAAATTCTAGTCAACTAGAAACGAATAGGGCTGTTATAAATAGCCCATGAATTTGTTTTGTTCCCTTTGGACTACTAAGTTGGTTATCTTCTATTTGGAGAAATTGAGTCAGATGGCTATTTTAAATTCATGATTTTTATTTTTATTTTTTTTTCTTGGGGCATGTAGCCATGCTTGGTTTGTTTTTGCCAACTTATCCAGGAAATAACATTAATGATCTGCCAGGGCAGGTTTTTTATTTTTATTTTTAATTTTTTATTGTGATGGTTTGTTTAATATCCTCTTTTGTTTCATAAAAGTTTGTTGATAATATAATTCAACTGTCTCATTTTCACAAATAAAAATCAATTGATTTTCATGTGTGTGAAGCCCACTTCTAGAACTGCTCATAACTTTGTGCTTTTAGTCTTCTAATTGGAGCTGCACCTCCCAGGTTGCTAGTTTGCGTATATGTTCTTTCCCTACTAATTTTGTTGACGTGGAGGGTAAAGCTTTTGCATACATCTTCTATTGTGTCATTTACATATCTTAGCAATTTCTATAGTGGCCTTAAAGTTGATCTTTTTACATTTATAAAGTTGAGATTTAGTTCCTGTAATTGGCTGGTTATATCTTCTTTAGTTGGATAAATTTGGTTTCTGGTGAGGTTGTGATGATGTACTAGGCTCTAGTAATGGTTAGTATTTGGTTTGTAGTGGTGTCATGATGGTGTGCTAGGCTTTTATACGGGTTAGTATTTTCAATATATCCATGAATTTTATGTTTGAGATAGAGTTTTTGAAAGCCTTTGAGAAAATCCCAAGTCTTATTGTGTTTCGGAACTGAGTTTTTGGGCATTGGGAACCTACCCCTCGGCCTCGACATTGTAGAAAACAAAATGCATCAATCTTATCTATTGATTGATGAAATCCTATGGTTTGTTCTCTTCTTTCTTGCTGTCTATTCATCTACACAAGGCAAATTGTTTTTGTGTTTATGAAGCATGTTTTACAATGTAAAAATTCATGGGAACTATTGAGACTGGTGATTGTGGCTCCAGTTGGATAACATTGATCGAGATGAGAATTCAGATTTTTATTTTTATTTTTATTTTTCTTTTTTAATATCGGTTTTCTAACCACCTCAACTCTACCAATATTCCTTGATGATTCTAGTGTGGCTAAGAATCATAGGCAATTTATATGAGTGATGGTAGAGTTGGATGTGGTCGAGGATCTACCAAATAAGCAGCTGCTAATATTCATGGAGAGGATTGTGAGGTGGGATTGGAGTAATGGAGACCTCAGTATTGCTCCTTTTGTAAAGGTTTGGATCATCCCTTGAATTGGTGTCCAAGGAAGGTAATTGATGATTCTAAGGAGAAAGGGAAACCTGTGGGGAAATGGATGGTGAATGTCAAAGGGAAGTTGGTGGAGGAGGACGTAGTCCCTGTGGTGACTAATGGGACTAAGGAGACTTTGTGAACAGATGATATTCATATTAAGAATCAATTTGATGGTCCATATCAGAATGATGAAGCAATTGATGTTGTAGGTGAGCATGCCAATGATGAAGCTATTGATGTTGTAGGTGAGCATGCCAATGTATCTACTTATTTGGCCATGTTTGTTTGGAGTGCTCCTAAAGTAGATGAGAAGAATGGTTCATGCGTTATGGGGGATGTTTTGAAAGAGGTTCTGGTGCCTATGGATTCTGAAACATCTAATGAAAAAGGTGATCTTCTTGCTGTAGCCCAGATAGCGGAGGAAGTCTCAAGTGATCAGGTTGATGTTATTGCTATGCCATCTAATAGTTGTGTTGAGGTCTTAGAAGGTCAAGTGCTTGATGTTAGTGTTGGTGGTAGCCCTGATCTTAATGTTCCTTTGAGATGTTTTTATCAGTCATAAGAAGAAGAACAAAGGGAAGAAAAAGGTGATGGTGCCAGCTACTGATAGAGTAACGAGTGGAAAGATTGCAGGTGGAGCTAATCCACCATCTGAAAACAATCAATGATTGGTTGTTGGAATGTTAGAGGCCTTAATAGACCTTCTATGCAGTTTGAGGTTAGTAATTGGGTGTCTCAAAGTCAATTCTCTTTGGTTATTTTGGTTGAGACTAGAGTTAAGTTCGAGAATTTTGATTGAATTCAGAGAAGGATTAGAGGAGGATGTTACTGGATTGCAAATTACTCTTCAAACCCAACTGTTAAGATTAGGGTAGGTTGGGATTCTAGAGTTTTTGATGTTACTCTTATATGTGAACAAACTCAAGCTATGTTGTTAAAGGTGAGGGCTATTCCTACTCGTCATATATTTTTTGTTGCCTCTGGTACCTAGATGCTGAGGTGGAGCATATTGTGAGGTAGGTCTGGGCTTGTAATACTTCAGGGAATCCTACTCATCGGGTTATGATGAAGTTAAGGGCTGTCAAAGAGGAAATTAGGAAGTGGAATAAAAGCAAGGGAACTATTAATGATCAACTAGTCTTGGCAAAGGGAGGAGTTAACTAGAATTCAGATGACGATCCAGAATGATCCTCTTAATCAGCAGACAACAGTTGATTTATCAGCAGAAGGAAGCTAAGTCTTTGCTGGAGAATTTGTTTGGTAAAGAGGAGACGCTTTGGGCTCAGAAATCAAGGGTTAAGTGGCTTAGAGAGGGAGATAGATGCTCTTCCTATTTGTATCACAAAGTTAAGCAAAGAAGAAGCTGGAATTCTATCACAGCTTTGGAAAGCACTAACGGTGTGTACTCTGAGGACCATGATGTTATGAAGGAGGGGTTGGTTCATTTTTATAAACAGCTTTACACAGATCCAGATTCTATTCCTTCTCATGTCAAAAGTCCTAGGAGATATATTTCTAAGGAGGATAAGGCCATGTTAGATAGACAGGTCACTGCAGAAGCGATTAAATTGTCTGTGATGAGTGTGAATCCAGACAAGGCTCCTGGCCCTGATGGACCTGCCAGATTCTATCATAAGTATTGGTATATATTGGGCTTAGGTAATATTAATGCAATTCAATTTCTCTTTAGTAACTCTAAGCTTCATATGAGGTTGAATTCCTCCTCCTTGACTCTGATACCTAAAACGAATCAAGCTACAAAGATTGGCGATTATTGGCCCATTTCCTTGTGTGACTTTTTGTAGAAACTTATCACTATATGCCTTGCTACTAGACTCTGTACTGTCCTTCAGTCAGTGATTGGAAAAGAGCAGGTGGCGTTTATCAAGAACAAAACTGTTCATGATAATATCATTATGGTCTCTGATTTGTTGAAGGGGTTCAACTGCAAGAGAGGTGATCGTACAATGGCTATGAAGATTGATCTGCAGAAGGCTTATGACACTGTTTCTTGGACGTTTATCTCTCAGATCATGCAAGCTTATGGTTTTGGTCAGATATGGTTTGGTTGGGTTCATGAGTTCGTATCCTCTGCTAAGTTCTCTATCTTTTTCAATGGAGTTCCAGCAGGGTATTTTAATGCTTGTAGATTGGCTGAAGATGAGATTAACAGTGGCAGGTTGCACCTCTCTAAAGCAGCAGATAGGGCTGGTGTGAAGATATCTCATGTATTTTATGCAGATGATTTATTCTTGGTAGTTAAGGCCAACTTTGGGACTGCTAAAGCTATTTCAGATGTTTTTGGGGAGTTCCAAACTGCCACTGGTCTAAAGATCAACAAAGACGAGTGCCATTTTGAGGATATTGACTAGCCTCTGAGGAAATAAAGACCGGTCATGAAAGACGAAAAATCGGTTTCAACCTCGTCGAACCTTTCCACCAACTGTCTTCTAGCTGTAGAGTTGAATGCCCGAAGATGCCAAGTCGAGGCTTTCACTTCCTCTGACCCTGCATCCGAGTGATTAAGTTTCTCCTCCCTGCTCTTCCGAGGGATATACTGGAGTATGCTTAATTTTTCCCAAGGTTCTCAGAAGGAAGAGAATAATTACGAACCTTTTGAATTTCAAACTTGGTTCTTTCCCTCTGCAATATCTTCGTGTTCCAGTTTCTAACAAAGCTTTAAAAAAGTCGGATTTCTAACATATTAGCTACTCGGAATGCTATTCAACTCTCTTGCTGGTAGGGTTGGAGCAAGTTAGATCCTCAATCATGTCCTTTATGTACTATTGATGTTATGCCTAAATTTTTATATGGAATTGCAGTGTGTTGTTGGATAGGAAGATGAGGCTGTCTATTTGAGGTGGTAACGAAGACCTAAATAAATTGCATCAGTTGAGTTTGAAGAGGCTTTCTATGCCTACTGCAGAAGATGGATTTGGAATAAGAAAATTACTTGATATTGATTTCTCAACCAAATGCAGCCTTGCTTGGGACTTATTCCGAATAAAGAGAAGCTTTCGTTGCAGTTCTTTACAGCCAAGTATCTGCAAACATCAAATTTTTGGCAAACTTCAGTCCAGCAGAATCAGTCAGCTGTATGGAGACATATACTAGATGTGAGAGCTTTTATGTTAGAGCTTTTATGTTAGAGCATTGCTCGTACAAAGTGGGGTCACGTAATTCTTTCAATCTAGTGTGTGATCCCTGGTGTGATGGAAGGATCATTGGTTGACATGTTTGAGGCTATAGCATGTAGAAGGATTGATAAGTCTGCTTTTGTTTCATCTATCATTTGTGATTGTAGAAGGCAGTGCCAAGACTCGTTTCCAAACAACATGATCACCTCTATTAACATTTAACAGAACTCAGATCAGCAACGAGCAGGATCAGGAAGCATGGCAAATTCTCTCTGAAGTCGGTTTGGAATGCGTACAGATTGCAAGGGGAGAAGTAGGCCTAGAGTGTCTATAACAGTCTGTTTGATCCTTCAGAATAGGAATCTCTCTTTAGTTTTTCTCAATAGAAAAGGGAAATGTCTCACTTCTATATGCCATTGTTGTTTTGCTAGTGAGGACAACAATGATCCATCTTTTTTGAGTTTCTTTCTATTCCTTAGCCTCAAGTACAAAATGTGAGTAGTCTGGTGGATTGGTTTCCAAAAGCTACTATTACTACTCATAGTTTCTTTCTATATCTGTGTTTGTGTCAGTGTGTGTATATATATACATGTGTATATTTGAATGTTATTTGCTGCAGTTGTCCTTAGAAGATGTTCTGCTTGTGTTTCAGCCTTTTTGATGATATATTTTTTTTGTAGCATCTTCTTGTGTTTTTGTTTTGTTCTTTATTGGAAATGGGCTTATTCAATTTCAATAATCTTTGTACTTTTGTAGTTTTTCTACAAAATTCGAAATGCGTGTGGAATTGTTTTAATTAGCATTAATAATTAATAGATCTGCTTATGCTGCATGAGAAATTCTGATATTTTTCTGAAGTTCTTGTGGAACAGTTGAGTGATTGATTTACTTATAATTGTGTAATATTTATTTCATATGAAAATTTAATTTGTACACTTGGGTATTCTCTGGCCGAAACTCGGTTGTCTTTGGGTAGGTAGATGATAGGGGTGACAATTTGTGTTGGCGTGTCGTGTCAACATGATTACGATACGAACACGATTAGGGTTGACATGAACACGATACGATTATTAATCGTGTTTAAGACTCTTGATACGAATACGACATAATTATTACACGTGTAATACGACATGCATAATATGTTTAATAAATGAGTCAAGATTTGACACGAAGAGACACGTTTAAGTCATTTTTGACACGAACACAATATATTTAGTTAAATGTGTCATTTTTGACACGAACACAATACGTTTAGCTAATCGGGTTAATTGTGTTTAGAAGGTCAAACACAAACACGACACGTTTAGTTAACGGGTCAATCAGTGTCGACATGATTACGATTAGTCCAAACCCAAAGTCTCTTATTTCGTGTTGTGTTTATGTCGTGTCAAATATTGCCACATCTGGTAGTTGTGTTTATTTAAAAAAATTGTTAGTGTTGCTTTGCGTTGGAATCTCCAAGTTTTTAATGTGCACTGGTAGTATTTTGATTGATCTTATTTTTTGTCTTCTATTTTTATTTTTGTTATCGTATTATGTTTGGTGGCACTGAAGTCTGCATTTCGGATTAAATAAAATTTAATACAAATTTTGAAATAAAATTTTCCCAATTACAAATTCAATGCCCCGTTGCTCTCAAATATAACATATAAAAATTTGACATGATCTTACAGCCAAAAGATGCTTAAAAAAGTACTTAATTACCACAATAATTAACTTAAAGATCCTAATTAATTAAAATAAGAAGATTACAATATGCTAAAATAGTTCATAATCATATTATGAATAAGAAAAAAACATCTTAAACTGAGTTGTGTAATCATGCATACATTCAAGTGCTTTCACCGAAATTCGAACCCACAGTGTGTACCTGTGTGTTTTTTGGCCGAAAAAAATACATTCAATTCCCTTCTGAAAGATTGAACCAGGGACACATATATACAAAACAAAAGCAAAGATAAACATCTCTCTCTCTCTCTCTCACACACACAAACCTGGCCCTTTGTCTTATACTTTTCTCTCTCTGTCTCTCTCTGTCTCTCTCTCAAGATAACTAACTTGGCCTTCTTGTTTTCTAATTTTACAAGCCTGTGCCCCTATACTCTGACACGCATATTGTTATTCGTTTTCATTATTGAAAAGTTGTTTTTTTGGTTTTTGTTTTTGACTCATTTTTAGTTATCACAAAAACAAAAAACAAAAAACAAAAAACAAAAAGGATATAGAATAAGACTCGAAACAATTCCTTAAAATTGGCGTGAGGAGTTAAATGATGGTGAGCTTTCATTTGTTAGTATATATATAGCTTCAAATGAAAATGGGATTTTTCACCACGCTTCCAAGAACAAATTCAATAAACACCGTAGCGAAAAGGATATAGAAGAAGAAGAAGATGGGTTTGAAACTTAGTATTAAGGCAATTTCTCTGTTCTTCATTTTAGCATCACATGTTGCAAATGCAGATCCAGTCACTTTTGACATTACAAAGTATGGTGCAAAGGCTGGTGGAGATATTAGTCAGGTGAGACCAATGCAAGCAACTCAAGATATATATAGAGATATATATATAGGTAATTAAGCTAAAATTATTATTATTATTTTTTTCGTTTGTTTAAAATGAATAAATTCAGGCTCTAACAATTGCGTGGAGAGAGGCATGTGCATCGACAAAGCCTAGCACATTGACGATTCCAGGAGGGGATTATTATATATTTAGTCCAGTGGTCCTGGAAGGTCCTTGCAATGCTGCTATCGAGGTCCAAGTCCAAGCAGGGCCTACTCGATATATATTGAGCCCTAACGAAAAACATTTAAAACGAAAATATTTTTTATTTTAGTATATTAACATAGATAATATTAATTAAGTCTATACATTTTTTAAAATTTTTATACGAATTAAACAATAAAAATTAGTGAAAGAATCAATAAAATATATAATAACAAGATAGAAGAAGAATTTTTTTATTTTATATTTTGCGCACTCTTTCATAACAGAAATTTTTTTAAAGCCTTTGGGCATGAAAACAAAAAATTTTTGTGATGCTTAACTGTACTCCGGTTAGATAAGATAAAATCAGAAATACTCTTTTTATTTTTTTATTTTTTTTAGAAACACTCTTTATCTCATACTATTCTCTCAATACATAATCTAATGTTAGAAGGGCTTTTTTTTTTTTAATTTTTTTAATTTATTTTTTATTATTACTTTCTTGAAAAACAAATCATTTTCGAAAAAAAGAGGTTTTTTTATTAAACATTGTCTACGTGAGGGTAAATTATTAGATAATTCTGGAACATTAACTAATTCTTCACGGACCAATTCAATTCAGACTCTCCCATTGAGAGGCCTTAGGCTACCACATCAATCATTTAGATTGAGCCAACTAGTCCAAGGCACCCAAAGGCCCCTCCTGATACCAGCATATTCAAAACTGATAGACATGGTACCACTGCTTGGAAACAACATGGAGGTGCCAAACAACTTCCCATTGTAAGCTGATTGATACATACACACACACACACACAAATTAGAAGTAATGTTTTTCTTGTTACTTCCACAATTAATTTCTTCCCAAACAATTAAGTATTAATGACAGAATATCGATCGACAACACGTTGATGGAATCCGAAGATAGCCATTACATGGATGGATTCCCACATTGGGCGCGTGCAAGTGGCTAGGATCAATATTAGTGATGCAGTCAAACAAACCGGAGATGACTGCGTGTTGTCCAATGGTGACGGTTGCCATTGCCACTCCTATCTATTGTGATAATAGGAGTGCAATTCAAGTTGCGCACAAGAATATTTTTCATGAGTGTACCAAACACATTGAGATCGATTACCATTTTGTTCGTCATCATCTTCTTCAGAAGACCTTACATTTGTGGTTTATTACTTCTCATGATCAAATAGCAGATGTCTTCACCAAATCGCTTTCGCCAGGCTGCTTCAAGGATCTTGTTTCCAAACTCAATATAACTTCATATAACACACCTTGAGTGTGAGGGGCTTTTAGAATATATTGTAAAATATATTGTTACCATGTATAGGTTTACCATATAAGGTTTATGATTATTCTTATATTATTCACATCAATACAATAAAGACTTCTATAATCTCTCTTATTTCCATCAAACAAATTTCGACAAAAATGAAACCATCACTGTTAGAAATTGCACCATTAGCAAAACAATGAATGGAGTGAGAGTAAAAACATGGAGTGCACGCACTGC